CACCAGGTCACAATATCCTACGGCACAAACTGGCATAAAAATGTCTGTTTAAAACAGCATTCTATTAGAAAGATACAGAGCAAATAGAAGCATTAGATAGGTGTTAAGTTTAGAGGAAAAGGCTTAAGATTCAAGAGCAAGTGTAAATAAGGGAACGATGCTTAGGCCCATCCAAAATGGAGATTAAGCCTCAGGGATAATAATTATGTAAGGGTAACAGGCAAGGCTTTGAGCACATCCAAAATAAAATGTCTAACACAATTCTGAAGTCTGCGTACACTTGATTTTCCTTCCCGCATCCTGAAAGAATCCATAATCTGGAGCAGGCTCAAATTCTTCCTTTTTCTTGCAACCAGCTCTGCTGGGAAAAGTCTAAGAACAAAAGCATCAAGCATCTGGCCATTTAACTTCAAATATGGAGGGAAGTTGTGTTTGCTGAAGGATATAGTCACATATGCTGTACTGCACGTAACAACTGATGCTACTGACTCAGAGAAATAAATGGAAAAGCACCGTCTCAAAAGCAAGTAAGAAGAAAAGAAAAAAAAATCTGCTGTAGTTCTCCATCTGGGTCAAATTTGTCTTTCAAAATGTTAGACTTACAAATGTGATTTACAGAGTAGATCAGAAGTAGTCTGCAATCTAAAAATACACTTTGGTACATTGATAAGATTCTTATATTTTGCATACAAGCCAATTTGTGCAAACTAATTCATTATTTTGTAGTCCAACCGTGTTAAAAACCTGGATTTCTCCTTTGTTTTCATCAGGAGAAAGAAAAAAACAAAAACACTGCACTAAAAGAAGCCATCAGTTCTGTATGCAGGCATTTTTATTATCATTCTAGTTCTTTCCCAAGACATCACTTCCAGTAAACCTTTCATTTGTATCTACTATAATTAAGAAATAGTACAGCTCAGTCCTTGCTGACTGTACAGTCTTCTTATTAATATTATGGAAGTGGTTTCCCATTATCTTCTTCTGAGATGTTTTTCAGCTTTCCAGGCTACTCTACTGCCAGGGACTCTATGCCAGACTACCACCCAAGGACTAACTAAACCCAACCCTGCTTAGCTTCTGAACTCAGATAAAGTCATCCAGATTCTGTCACTTGCTAAGACTTACTGTCATTAGATAATGATCCATCAAATAGTTGGACCGAGATCCATTATTCTGTAATTATTCTGTAAGTACATTTGTTGATTCTTCTAATTCTAATATACTCAGGAACGTCTACATAGAATATAAGAAGATTCAGATTATTATTTTTTCTGAAGAATTTGGAAAACAAATTGATTATGTGCAAGTCTGCCAACAATTTAAAATATCATTTACATGCTGCGACAAGTGCTCAGTATTCAAAACCTGGGAGTATAAGCATCAATTATGATTTACATAAAGTTATTTTACATATTGATAGAAGGCAATTATAATTAAAGATTAAAGGAAACCAACCCTGAAACCAACCACAAGTGCCAGCATGTCTGGAAAAATTCATATACATGTGATGTTGAAAAAAAACTATAAGCAATGTCCTTACCACTTAGAAAGACTTCAATACTACACTTTACAATTTTTCTGTAGACAAAAATTTGGTTTTGGATACATGATTTTGTAGCCAAAAATATGTCTGTTCTATAAATCCACAATTTATATTACACGCTTTTCAATTTTTTTGCTTCTGCTTAAGGATTCTCTTAAAATATCCCTATAACTATTACAATCTTCAATCCATTTTCTGCTGAAGCAAATCATATCCATTCAAAATTCACAATGGAACAGATCACAATGGAAAACGAAATACTGGAATATATTGGGAGGGATTGATATGTTTTTTGTAACACTTTTATTTATTTTATACAAAATGTTATATACTATCTACTTCTTAAGACTCAAAACAATTCATCATCAAGCAGCTACAGGTAGTCCTCAACTTACAACCACAACTGGGACTGAAACTTCTATTGCTAAGTGATACGGTCATTAATGAGTCAGGCCTGATTTTACAACCTTTTTTGCTGCAGTCGATAATGAATCCAGCCTCCCCCATTGACTTTGCTTGTCAGAAGCCCCCTAGAAAGGTCGCAAATGGTGATCAAGTGACTCCGGGACGCTGCAACCGTCATAAATACATGCTGGCTGCCAAGCACCCAAATTTTGATTAAGTGACCACAGGGACACTGCACCAGTTGTAAATGTGAGGACTGATCATAAGTCACTTCTTTCTGCACTGTTGTAACTTTGGTCACTAAATGAATGGTCATTAATTGAGGACTACCTGTAGATCAAACTCAAAGAAAACAGCAACAACAAAAACACTGCAAAGCAGGCTGACCAACTCAGAAAGCCCTGCCATCATTAGTGCCATGAAGAACAATCATGTCTTAAGAGCCTTTCTAAAGGTCAGGAGGTGAGAGGCAGTATGTATATCAGAAGGCAAGATGTTTCAAGGAGTAGAGGCAGCTACCAAATAGGCAAGTTCA